TATATAATTGGTTAGATCTGCCTCCAGTTCATATTTTATCTTTTTGGTTACAACATTTATAAATTAATTATACTATTATTTGTTGATTTAACATTCCGACGGTAAATTTTGTTTTGTTAAGCTTAAAACTGTTTAAACTTCTTTTAACACCGAAAATATTTGAAACTTTCTTAGGAATTTTAATGAAATGGATGCAGCATACAGTTAGTGCAGTTTGCTTTTAGACTTTCGGTGTGATGTGCTTCCATTCTTATCCACTCCGAAATTGATCTGGCTGCCCACCGACGAGGTGCTCGAGACCTTGGCGCTATACGGTATTCTAAACAGGTCGATCCGTAGATGCTGGCAAATCTCTAAACAAACCTGCGCACAGTAACGTAGTAAATCCTGAGTGCCCCAGGCTAGCGTAAACCAAAGCAACCAAATCTCTGGCACAATACAATTAAAGTACTGATTGAGGAACAATAATGCTGGGCCAAGTAATGACCAGTCCAAATACTCCATCTCAGCTTTCGTCATGTGGGCAATCTGCGTTGCAAAACAAGTAATATTAATAAATTTCAAATATATTCGTAGCTGTACAAAAACTTACCACTAGTTTATTCGTAATTTTTGCCGCCACCATGCCAAAGGCCAGAATAAAAACAGAAGCGTGCTCCGTAAAAATATTGTCCGGGGACTTTTGGGCAATCATGAGCGCCGGTAGGACCACTAGAGTAAGTGGTATACTAGGCGATAATACACTGGTACCCTTTATATAGTTGGGATTGGTATGTTAGTATAAATTATATTTATTGCAAAAAGAGAAAAATGTGCTACATTGTTTTTGAGTAGACTTGCAAATTGTTGCACATTTTGCAAATCTACAGCAAACACTTCAACTATTAACAAACTTTATTTTTGTTGGCTCTTATGTGACATTTATTTTTGAAGGTAACAGTAAGTTGCAGTGTCTAGCGCTACTTAGTGGGTGAGTGAGTGAGTGGTGACTGGTGAGTGGTTGAGTCATATGCCCTGTAAGCCAAGCCAGATACACAAGAAAGCATAATTGGAGTCATCCAATACCAAATGACTTAACCAGGAATGGTAACAAATAAACATGAATGGGACGTGCATCAGCAGAAACCACAATTACAAAAAGTAACTGAAATAAGTTAGATAGCTTCGGATTACCGAAGAGGAGAACCCTTACAGTCTTATACAAATTAACTGAACAACAACAAATTCAACTATATATA